ATAGCTTCTAATATTGCAACTCTAACACGATGTACAGTGTCAAAGGCAAACACATGCAGTCCTGCAAAAGAAGTCTGAGAAGAAAGCACATTTGATGCACCTAAGAGAATAAGCAGGGAGTCTTTTGGCCAAGAACAACAGCAGGCTTATCCATCTGTCTATCATGAAACTGAGTTGTGCCCACTACTTATCAACAGGAGGTGACCATGTGGGTAACACACTAAAATAGAATTTCTGCCATCAGGAAGATAAGATGAGGTGGGAGGAAAATAATTAACCATTTCAGGATCAGTTTCTAGGTGAAGATGATGCATATATGAATTTCTGCTCACTTCTTACACATGGTTTATAAACCTTTTCATGCTTTTATGCACTCATTAAACATTTCCTGGATGCCTGCATTCTGGATGGCTAGCACTGCGCCAGCTACTGGGGGCACAAAGAATCATTTCTTCCTTTAGGAATTCTGTTTCATGAGACTGACAGAAAAGATAACAAGTAATTGTAAGACCGCAATAAGATAACTGCTACTGCACATATAATATAGCAGGGGAAGCCAAAAAAAGAAGAAATTAACTATGAGAACTACGGGAAGCCAAAAAAAGAAGAAATTAACTATGAGAACTACGGTAATTTATAAATGGGTAGGTCATCTTCCCTAGAGTATTCCAGTGTTGGTATGTGTGCTCGAGAAATCAAATACAAAGGTAGGGCAGAAAGATGAACTTTAAGTGGCCATGCTTACAACAGAGGAAAAGTGCTATCATCTTCACCTTCACTTACTGAGGTCTATAGGTGGACATGTTCGATTTTTCATGATTTTTAACCTTCCTAACTACATCTAAACATGTCAATTCCCACATTACCACTATGTCTGAGAGTGTGACCATTTGTGGGTCACAAAGTAATGTAGATGCACACACAGATGCGCTCTCGAGATAAACAGGTAGCTTCTTGTTTCTGGAAATACTAGTTAGGATGTAACTCTTAAATTTCACAATGACATTCTGCCTTCTAAGCAATATCCTAATCGAAAAGCATTTAATAAAATTAAGGTGTTAATATAAATAAACTCCTACATATGCTTTATTTATTTATTTTTGAGACAGGGTCTCACTATGTAGTTGAGACTGACCTGACCGGGAACTCACTATGTAGCCCAGGCTGATCTCAAACTCACAGCGATCCTCCTGCCTCAGCCTCCCAAGTGCTGGGATTACAGGTGTGCAACACCATGCCCTACCCTCCATATGCTTTAAGACACACTATAAAGACTTTTAACCAAAGAGACAAAGTGAAGTGAAATCCTCCAATTTAAGCTAACATAGAAAGTCTGGAAACATGAACTTAAAAATCCTATTTAAATATCTATTGTCTTTGTTGCTAACACACAACCTTGGAAAATCACATCAATCTCACATGAAATTTAGTATTCCTCTCTCCAAAGCAATTCTTGGGACTGAAAGCTTTGCCAAGTCCCATTCAGTTATCTCTGCCTTTAGCATGTCTCTTTGTTGTCCCCGAACCACGCATCACCCTGCAGCTATCCGCATAAACACACGGGTGTTTCTCTCCTTGAGCGCCTGCTCCATCACTCGAACAATGCACACTGAAAAGTGGGCCGTGACGTAGCCGGCTCCGAGTTCAGGCACCAGATTCATCAGGGTCTGGGTCTGCCAGAAGGACACACACAGGATAAGAGCCAGACTGTCCCTCACCCTGTCCTGATGTCCTGCCCTGGAGGCCACCAGTACTGAAGGGCTCTACCCGCTGACAAATTCAGGAAAACCCGGTCACGTTGTTACCATGACCCATCGATGTGCAGAATCTGAATGCTGAACTTTAGCTCTAATCTTTTCTTCACTCGCAGTCATCTTTCCTTTTTTCCTTTGACGCCAGGGATCGAACTCAGGACCTTTTGTTTGCGAGGCAGGTGCAGAGCCACCGAGCTACATCCCCAGCATACGCGCTCATCTTTTTCACACGTCAGCATTTTCATATCCCTTCATAATAAAAGGCACCGTGCCCGTGGATATAAATATCTGCATAGTGTTTTTATTTTGTCCATTTGTCAGTTCTGTATAAATCCTTAGTCACTGTTCTTGATGAGTTCCTCTTAACATAGCACCTTGCCAGCTTCCCTGGTATTTTTGCAATTACTTAATTTTTCCTCTGATAGTGGAGGGGCTGGTGGTGATGCCTGCTGCTCTCTCAGCTCTGTCAAGCATACAAATAGTGTCCTATGGACAGATATGTTTTTACCAAGATCTGTGTTATTTTTCCACGTTTTTTGTCACGCATTTCCAATCAATATAGTTTATCCTTCATTATATGAACACAAACTAACCCAAAAATGAAGTTAAACAATAAAAAGTAAATGTCCTCACAGACTGAACTATGTTATAACTCTAGTCCAGGGTTGATTCCTCAACACTGAAGAGAAAGTCATCTATTAACTTAAGGCCAAAAGGCTTCTGAGCAACTTGACATTTAATGGAAGCCAGCGGAAGCAGTAATTGAGGGAAGTTTTTTTTTTTTTTTTTAATGGATGCTAGTGTGCAGGACATGGTCTATTTTCATTGATGAAAGCTGTGAGATCTTCTCTGTGTTTTCTAATATTCAAAAAAAGAGATATGTATCAAAAAAGCAGCCTGGAAAAGAGGAAGGCAGCTTTCAACGTACGCATGTGTTGAGGCCCCAACACTCGGAGACCAGGCTTTGCACTTCAAGCATTGTTAACCCTGGTGGTGACACTCGATTTCAGGTCACACAGACCAATCTACTATATAATACGGTAGTTCCAGAGACTCTATTTCAAATTAACACCACCATTCGTCATACACTGCTGAATTTCTCTGTGAACAATAATGAAAACAGCCATTCACTGAGCATATCCACACCACTGGGGATCTCAGCCATTTTAATTCTTTAATTCCTCGGCCTGTAAAATAATTACCACTATTGCCTTTTACAGATGAGCTAATAGGCCTCTCTCTTGACCATGAGCACGTTAGCAATGCCGCACTTATGCATGAAAGATGAAGTCTTTTAGATTGGTCAGTACCCAGATTTCATCCCCACTAGGAGGCAGAGGCTGTGGACACAGATTTCCTTCCCTGTAACACTCACAGATTAGACAGGTGACCCTGTCGGTGACTGCCACAGAGCACAATGTATTTGCAACCCTGGGGAGTAGGTGTAGATTCAGACACATTCTTGGGCCCTCATATAAGAGTTGATTAGACAATGATTACACCAGTCGACACTCCTACCAGCAGTGGAGCAGTGTTCAGTATGGAGATACCTCAAAGAACTAGGGTTGGAAGTCCCATTGACTCAGCTATTCCCCTGCTGGGTATCTTTCCAAAAGAATTAAAAGAATCATACCACAGTGATATATGTGCACCCATGTTCATAGCAGCACAATTTGTAACACCTAAAGCTTGGGAGCAGCCTAGTTGCCCATCAACTGGATGCTGGATACAGAAAAGTTGTTTTTTTTTTTAAATAAAATGGAGTACTACTCAGCCATAAAGAATGAGAAATTAGAGACATTTATAGCTAAACGGATGGACATTGAGGTGATACACTTAAGTGAAATAAATAGAACACACAGATGTAAATACCAAATAGATTTTCTAGCTGAAAAGTGAAAAAAGCTGAAAATGTAAATAAGGACTAAAAGGAAAAACAGATAATGTGAAATAGGAAGAAAAGGAGAAAAGGGGAAGGGGAATTGGGAGGGGTAGGGGAAAGGAAAGAAGGGAATGGAATTAATATGAGAGAATGAAAAATAATAGAAACAAAGTCTTTGCAGATTTGAAGGGAGGGCAGGAGAATGGTGAAAAAATAAGAACCACGATGGATTATGTTAACAGTACACATTTCCAATGATAAATGTCATTATATTGTATACCTTAAATGTACCAATAAAAATTAATAAAAAAGTTAATTAGACAGAACGTGAGATCCTATTTTTAACAACTTTTTATCTTTTTAATACACTCATCCCAAAATCAGAGCTCCTTTTAGCTTTAAGCTACATGTTCTCTATTTTTCACTTGAATGTATAGTTAAGCCACCTTGTTTCATAGTGAAGGGGTAGGTTTTCCTTCATGAAGAAATAGAATTTTCCCTTAAGGAAAATGGTTTTCACTTTCAATATGCATTTACTAAGTACCTAGCTTTCAAAAGTCAAAGACTTAAGTCTGAAGAGGGTAAAAAGATAGATAAGACCCAGTCTATGCTTGCAAGGGGCTTAACGTCTAATTATGGAGAAAGAAATGTGTAGCTTAAATCTGAAGCAAAGTTTGAAGCAGAGCCACTGGTTGCCTTTGTAAGAAACAATGTAGGAAAACAGGTGGCCTCTCTGAGGAGCACACTGGCTTTGTCCCAATACAAAGAATGTAGCTAAAACAAGAATCGTCTAAGAATAAAATGTTAGTCTGAGAAGATTCTAATTCTAGCAGCAGCTCTCAGCGTGGAGGAGGTGGTACAAGAGAAAGGGACCAATTTTGGGACTGATACAGTCTGCCTGGTGAGATGCTTTTACAAACCACACAGTCCCTGCTGGTCACATCAGAAGCCCCCGGGATGGAAGAGTAGATGTTCTGCGTCTCATGTATCTTAAGAGGGAACAACTAAGAGCCACATTGAAGGCCCATGTCTATAATCTCAGCCATTCAGCTGAGGCAGGAGGATTTCAAGTTCAAGGCCAGCCTGGGCAACTTACTGAGAACCTATTTCAAAATCATAATCATAATAATAATGGGAACTGGGATGTAGCTCTGAGCTTCCTGTGTTAAACCCTAGTACCACCAAAGAAAAAAAGAGTACCAAGAGCCACAATATCTAACATAATGCAGTTTTTCCACTCCTAATGACATCTTATTGTACATTTACTTTTCTGTTTGTCCTTATTTAATAACAAACCAAGTGACTGTCTGACACCAGAGTCCAGACCCAGATTAGTCCAGGACTTAGTTTTAGTGGGTGATTACCTTCATCAGTCATTAAGAGGCTGTCTCTTCAGAAGAAGGCCTGAATCACTGCAAACTTGTGTTGCTTAAAGAGGAGTCTGTGATAAAAACAATTATGAAGACAGTTATTGAAAACAAATGATCTTAACTTAAAAAAAAACCCGTAACTTTCTGTGATTTATGCTCTTTAAAAACAGAGAGAATTCATTACCTGAGACTCTTCTACACGTAAAATCTGATGGTATCTACTCTCTTTTGAGAAGCTATGTTTCTTTCTCTCCTTTATAGCTAAAATAAAATTCTACTAGCAGCTTGCCAAGTCTTAGTCTTTGTTCTTTAGCTGTTCACACTTCACACTGCACCTGTGAAATGTGCAACCCAGTGATTTCTCCACCCACACTTGCATTTGTTTAGCACTCACATTACATGTGTATGTTTCCCTGCAATGCTAACACACTCATTATAATACACACCTCTTTTATTTTGGGTCCAGCAATTTTTTTCTGTTTTAATCTTAGTATGAATGTCCTTCTTAATGACCATACAACATGTTATTTTGTAAAAATTTAAGTTACAAATAAAAAGTATTTTCTTATTTTTTCTTTGTTCCAGTGTTGGGGATCAAACTCTGGTCCTCGTACTTGAGAGGCAGGTGGTGGAAGAACTGAGCTAAATCCCTGACCCAAAAAAAGTATTTCCTAATGAAAAGGTAGAGCTACTTTATTTACCATGTAGACACTGATGAAAAAATGTGTTATTTTAGTACTTTTCCTATGTGTGATTTTTAACCTTGTAGTTTGAAATAATTTTAAATTTACAAAAGTCACAAAAAATAAGTTTCCATTTAGTCTTTGCCTGTTTCTACCTTTAACATGTTAACATCCTCCATAATAACATAATTATCCACATCTTCTATGTACATATATTTTGACAAAGTTGAAATCACACGGCATGTTCACTGCTATCTCTATATAGTAACATTTTTATTTATATTATTTAAAAGTCTTCAAAAATCATCATAATGTCCAATGCTGTAATGCATCAAGTCATATTGCATTTAACTATTTCCATTTTGTTGGATATTGAAATTGTTTGAATTTTTTCCATTATTAATAGCTTTCATCAATCTAAGTTACTAGTTTCCTAAAAGTTTTCTAATTTTACACAGCAAGAAATACTTGCACTTACCAAATTGCTTTTTTAATTATTATTGAAAGTGAACATTTTGGATGCTTATTGGTCATTTTTATTTCATCTTTCATAAATTATTTAATCAGGCCTTTGGTCAATGTACTTATTAGTGCCTGAATGTGTTACTTACAAATTTGTGTAAGGTTCATGTATTTATTAGGAATATTAAGCTTTTGATTCAAAGATTGTCAGTTTTTATTGCTAGATATTTGCCTTTGAATTAATTATTTTGTTCTCATTTTAATAATCTAAAACTACATTCCAATTGTAAATATATATTTCACTGTAGTGTAAGATATATTTTATTATAATAATTGAAAAGTATTTTCATAAAAATAAGATCTCCATTACCTGTTTCTCAAACTGAGATCCACTAAGTGCTTAGTATTTGAAGAGGTGCGAATTACAAAAATTTCCTTTTATTCTTCATTTTTTTCTTTTTTGGGGACTTTCCTTAATTCGCATACCATTCAAATTTAATAAAAATCACAGTAGATATGAAAGGTCAAAGGAGGAACACGCACTTACAATGAGATGGCCTTTCCTACACATCAAAAAGTGTATCAAGGGATCTGCTTACATTTATGTTGTCCAGTGGTAAATATTTTATACTAGCTTAATGTCTTAGAAGTATTCGTAGCTAAACTAAAAACTAATTTCTTTTCTGTTGTTACGACCTGCAGTTGAAGAGCTGTACCCCACTTAACACCAAAGGCTTCAACGTCCCCCGGGAACCACATGCTCTCTCACGTCGCCTGTTTCTGCCCTTTGCTTGCAATACTCACTCTGTCTGTCCACTCTCAGACTCCTGCGCCTCATCCTTATTCCTCCACACTATGCCCAATATTGTCTTCATTATTGTATTTGCCGTTAGTTTTTCTCTCTGTACATATCCTGGCAGATCGTGCATAGCTGTAACCCCTTCCCCACTGTGGGTAACTAGAGAAGAGGAGACACAGTCACCACCCTAACTCCTGTACCTAAGGAAGTTCCCAGTAGAAGACACAAGCACCAATACCACGAATAAAATGAACTTCCCATAAAAATAATCACCTTCTGCGAGAGTTCTAGGAAGCTTAGCCTTGTTCTCTAAATTATGCTGATAAATAATATCGCAAATTCATCTTCCAACTCGGCCATCATGCATCTCGTGGGACTTGCTGCTTTTGCTAGGCACTCTCAAATGCTTTCTATTGTGAGAAGTGACCTGGACTAAAGATAACACCTTTTCTCAGCAAGGTGATTAATAGTCACTCAATTTTTTCTTGAACATTTTAGTTTAATTTGTTTTTGTTTGGTTCGTTTGGTACGGGGGATCGAACTCAGGTCCTTGAGCTTGTGAGGTAGGCGCGGAACCACTGAGCTAAATCGCCAGCCCTCGTTTAATTTAATTTTAAATTTAAGGACGGTTGGAGATTTGAATGTGTTTACCCTCCCAAGTTTTTGTTGAAATCTCACTGCCATTTTGATAGTATTATGGGATAGGACCTTTACGAAGTGATTAGGCCATGAGGGTTCTGCCCTCAGGAGTGGATTAATCCTGTTATTGTGAAAGGTGACTCATAATAGGATGAGTTTACCCCACTTTGCCCTCTCTCTATCCCTCTCTTCTCCCCCAGCATGTGGTGCCTCCTACTATGTTACGACATAGCCAAAATGTCCTTGCCGTGTACAGTCCCACCACTTTGAACTTTCAAGCCTCCAGAACTGTGGGCCAGTAAGTTTCTGTTCACTATGAATCACCCAGTCTGTGGCATTCAGTTATAGAGGTATAAACAGACTAGCAAAGAAGAATGGAACAGAGCTAACTGTATACCTTCTAACAAAATTCACCAGTTGTTACCATCTTGCCAAGATTTGGTTTCTGCCTTACTCCATGTACTCGAGAGCATGCATCCGTACACACAGATGCACACAATCATACTCACAATACTTTCCCTGAGCCATTTCAGAGTTACTTGCAGAATTGCATTTCTTTATTCCTAAATACTTCCTAAGTATAAATAAATCCTAAGGACAAGGATGTTCTCATACACAACACAGTACATTTGTCAAATCCAGAAATCTAACACTTATACAACATTCTTATCTAATTCACAGTCTATACGTATTTTGCAACAATTAACCCAGTAATATCCTTTATAAAAATCCTTTTCTCTGATCCTTGATCCAACCTTACATATTACATGTGTTTGGCATTTTTGTTTGTCAAGGCTTTGAAATTTTACAGCATACTTGAGCAGTTATTTTGAAGACTGTACTTTTGGGTTTCTACCTGATTTGGTTCATATTATGGGTATGCATTTTCAGTAGAAATACTGTATAAAAAATGTTGTACCTCTTTCATTGTATACCACCTGAAGTCATATCTCAACTTATCCTATCATTTATGATATTAATTTTGATCACTCAAAATTGGTCATGTTGCTCCACTGTTAAATCATCATTTTCAATTAAAAAGTAGTCTTTGTGGAGGTATTTTGATAATATGTATTCTTCAAATTTTTAGCATCCATTGATTATTCTTCTGAATCTATTTCCATAATGGTTGCAAAACAGTGATTTCCTATGTTCACTGTTCTACGTTTATTAGTTGATGTAACCATTCTTTTTTCTGAAAGTTCTTCTTTCAGTACTTTCATTCTTTTTATTTATTTTTTTTTTTTATTTTTTTTTTTTTTTTTTTT